GAATATAATACAGTGGTGGACTATGATGACCGACGGTAACGGAGGGTTACTTTTAGTCGGCAGTTGAAGGCCTAATGATTTATAGTAAGTAGTTATCAACCAGCTTCGCTTAGAGCACTATTGATCATAATCACAAGTTTATTTTGTTTAATATATATCTGTAGTTGTGTAAATAAATAGCTTTACAACTCTATTCTTTTGTATTATTTTTAACCCATTCATGATCAAATACAATTGTTTATTTGGACAAATCTTCAGAGTGCAGTCATGTTTTAATGTGACTATATAGGGGCTTTACACAACATATCTATACAGAATATGCAAAGGAAAAATTCATCTGGTTACATTTTCATGGCATTCTTGGTTATCACTGAACGGACTGCATAACGTTCATCGACACACAATATGGTAGATGCCTAATTTTTATTTTAATGCCCGTCTGGTAGATTATTTTAAATCACTATACACGTATTTTTTATTTTCTTATAGAAACGAATACTTTCGACAATATATTGATTTGAAATGTCGCGTGACGTCACTTCTATGTACATTTTATACGTAGAAATGACGTTTTAGTTCCTAAACTTTGATTCGTTTTATCTAAGCATTGTTTTGTTACCTATACGACAAAATAAAAATTACGTGTCTAATATTTTTTCATTACCTAACTTACGGACTAATTATATTTTTAATTTTCGTACCCTGCCATCATCCCAATTGCGGGCCATGGGACCATGTCATGTCATGATGGGTATTTTTTTTTAAGGAGGGAAAATCATCGAATGACTGCTCCCGTCTGTGTGAGGCGGGAGGGAGTGTCAGACTCTCAAAACCACCCCGTTCCTTCTCCTGCACGTCGACCCGGAGCCCCGGTTACCCGTTAGGTTCTCCGCGACTCCGAATCGGCATCGGCCCTGTTGGGCCCCATCTATGGTGGTCTGATGGATCATTGAGGCGCGCGCGGAACGCGACGCGCCGTACACTCGGGTCTGTTTCTGGTCGGACGGGGAGCAACCCATGCTCGCGGGCCTGCCGCGCTTACGGTGGCCGGAGATCCCCGACGCCCGATGTGTCCTTCGCGATGGCTGGGTTGCGAGGAGGCAGCGCTTCGCTGACTCACGCGTCCCGCCTCCTCCTTAGCTAGCTTATCTGCTTCGCAAAAGGAGAAGACGGCATCCCAGTCCTCCTCGCTCAGCATCATGGCCCGCACAAGGCCCGGACGCGAGAGGTCGCCATCGCCGATCACTTCCCTGAGGGCACGGCGGTGCTCAGTCCACGCAGGGCATTCCCCCACTCTGTGTTCCACCGTGTCCTCAGGGCGGTCCTCGCAGTGATGACACCCGGGCGTTTACTCCCGCCCCATCAGACACAGGGACCTCCCTAAACTTCGTCATGATGGGTATAAATCGGTTATCCGTAAAAGCATCGTCGTCTGCGGTTTGTGAAATGCCCGTAATGATATTCTGATCGCTAGATTAATCCGTCCTATCTAAAATATTGAATATTTAGTGGATTAGGTAGTTAAATTATATTTTTCCATCCTCTAACCGCATAAAGCTATACATATGTTTGATAATAACAACATGTACCTATTATAATTTGAAATTAATGTTCTCAAATGACATCACATCACTGCCTTACTGATCAAAGAAAAACAACTACAAATCGTGCATTTTCCCAGTAAATACAATAATGGTATGCGTATTATGATTATTTTTCCAATTTTATCAAAGATAATAAGTAACATTGTCTGATCTGAATGCATTGATGGCTGATATCGAAAAACGTATTGAGATAGAACAAGTTTTCACCAATGAAATCCTTCGTAAATAATTCACAATATAATTATCCTTTCTTTAAAACTATCTATCACTGTTTGTGAGTATCGATTGGCGGACACAGTGCAGTTTACAAAAGAGTCGCCCTAATCAGTGCACGGACAGTTGGAAAACACAATGTGTTCATAAATGTGTGTGAAATAACGTTATCAGATTCCACTTTAGTTATCAGAATACTTGTGGCTGTAAGGCACGGACCAAGGAACCGTGCGGTTGTTTTTATAGTTCTTTTGACGAGAAAAATAGATGAGGGTGTTTAGAATGAGGAGTGTGACACCCGTGGAAATGAATGCGAGCGTGGGTGCCGCTAAAACGGAGACGGAGTACAACATGAAATCTATCAGGTGTCTCCTGATGATCATCACGGCCATGTTCATTGTAAGTAAAAACTTTTGTAGCCTTTAAATTATGTACATGAAGTACTTCAAGATAATAGACAGTTATTTATAAATTGTATTGATTATTGCGCAATTTTACCAGTTTAAGTATTTGTTCCGTTTCCTTTGTTCGCGACAATTTTTTTATACTTAGCTATTGAACAATGTCTTGCACATTTTTTGGACTACCTAAGACCTAAGTACAGTTCAGGTACTCCCCACTGACAATAAAAAAGTTTAAGGATTTGGAGGTTTCATTTCAGGGAAATCAAAAGGTTTTAAATAAAAATTATTTAATCAAATTAGTGAATTCAATTAGAAATGTGAAACATAATATGGAAGCATCCATCGCAGTTAGTTTTTAACTCTTTAATGGCTAAACGGCTGGATTGATGATGATGATATTACTACTAAGAGATAGCTTGAAAACTTTAGAGAGACAAAATAATGTTGTATAAATAAGTGACAGAAGCAAGTTTCTGTTTGGGTTTAAAACATTTCCATAGTTATTTAGGGAAATAAATTAGGTATAGTTATATATACTTACGGTAAAATCCCTTGTCTTCATCACGTAGGTGGAGATAAAAATAATGATTGATGATTGTAGAGTTGTAGACTATTGTTCATATTTTCTTGTTGTCAAACGTTTTATTATAACAGCAATAGACTGATGCGACAATTCATTTCTTATGTTTTATTAGCATTTGTTCATTTTGTAAGATGCACTAGAGCTGGAATGTAAATTTACTTAGGTACCTACATCAAATTTTTATTCGTACGTTCCCTACATACATGAAGTATCATTGTTTAGTTGTATGTTACCTTTAGTGTTAATAATGTAACAATCATTTAGCCCAAGCAGATAACAAGTACCTTTTTTTTTGATGACGGGCAAACCTTCAATATGCGCCTAGCTTTTTTGGGGATAAAAGACTAGGGAGTATGGGATTTTTACCTCATTAACACCACCCCGGTGGCCACCCTCAACACCAGAATGGAGGCACCGGGTCCTCTAAAACAGACCTGCTCCGGAGCCTCCACGGTGCAACGCCTGTTACGACACATCCCTAGGGAGACGGGTGTCTCCTTTAAGCCTTGCTATGTACGTGACCACTGTACCACCGTCTTCCCTGAGACCACAGGGTGGGCACCTAGAGTCCCCACTCTAGTATTACCTAGTACCTAAGTATCTATTCGATATCATGAACAATTATTGTTTTTCAGTCTTTCTACGTGTAGGCGATATTGTTATACTCCCATCTACTTCTTATCATTTGAAATGATCCGGATATTATTCGTAATCGTATCAAATATAGACTAGTAGATTAGGATCTGAGACGAATGATACAGATAAGTTTGCATACATTTGTAAATGACACAATAGAGGTATAGTACATTCTGCTGGGCAACAACGTTATGAAGGTTCGATTTCCGCACGGAATCACTATATATGTATGATCTACACATTGCTGTTCCGGGTCTGATGTCAATTTGTGTGTTTGACTAGCTGTTGCCCGCGACTTCGTTCGCGTTGAATATCAATTTTAGAAACATATTGTTTTTGTTTCAATTTTTCAAAATAAAGTCAATAAAAAATAAAAGTATTGCAAAATCGGTCCAACCATTCCAAAGATTTGCCAGTACAAACAGACTGACAGACGAACAGGTAAAGATTGTAAAAAATGTTATTATGTGTGTGTATCGTATGTACCTATGTTCATATGCGCATGTAGTAAAAAGCGAGTATTTTATTATTACAAACATACACTTCAATTTCATTTATCTGTATAGAGTTTAGATGTATAGATATATCTAGGGGATAATTATAGAGTGGGTCATGTTAGAGAAATCCCATGAACCTGTGGTTTAACTAACAGAATACTACTCATTACAAGCTTGTACTGCGGTGTAACATAAAAAAATAAATAAATTAGCAAATGATAAGATTATACTCGCAAAATGTATGAAACCAAAAGTTGCGCCACGAGATAGTTACCTACGTCGTCGTCGGTCGTTGCGTATCGTCGACGGTCGGGCAGTGTAGGTACCTACACGGCGGCTATTGACTCGATCAACTGATGTTTGCGAGTCCACGTTGACCAGCGACCGCGTCAATGTTGTTAGGTTGTTACTGATAGGAATGCTGCGTACTAACGGTTCGCATTATTTATTCACTCATGCGAGAATTGACTCGAGTTATTAAAAAAAGTACTTTATTTTTTAATTTTATCTTTACAAATCGATAGTGTTTCATGGACCAGTTCGAACATCCAAGGGATTAAAACGATTCAAATTTAACGGTGTATATGTTATGCACTTTATGCAGTTTTAGCTGAGCTAAAACCTGTTTAAATCAGCGGTAATCAAGTTATATAAAGTGCTGATACCAAGTCACATCCTATTACTAAGTAGGTACTCGGTACTCGTGCAGATCCTAAATCTGTTGTTGAAATTGCAAATATTTGCACCCGTTTATTACTATATTATTTTATATCATGTATTTCCTTAAGCTGTTTAATAATGCTAATTTTATTTCTTCGACTTACCTACCTATATAAATCCAACAAGGTATTATCTCCATTCAAAAAGATATACCTAAGTTAGGTATTTACAATAGGGTAGATGCTTAATTTTTATTTTAATGTCCGTCTGGTTGATTATTTTAAATCATTAGACACGTATTTTTTATTTTCTTACAGAAACGAATACTTTCGACGATATATTGATTTGAAATGTCGCGTGACGTCACTTCTATGTACATTTTATACGTAGAAATTACGTTTTACCCCCCACTTCTAAACTTTGATTCGTTTTATCTAAGTATTGTTTTATTATACGACAAAATAAAAAAATATGTGTCTAATATTTTTTAATTACCTAAGTTACGGACTAATTAGATTTTTAATTTTCATACCCTGTCATCATCCCTATTGAGAAGTTTACTTTTGAATGACGTCATTACATTGATACGTGAATGATACTTCATCATGACCACATGTTACGGGAATCTCTGTACCAGGGGGCAATCTACTAAAATCCGATTAGTTAATTTCTTCTTTGATTTTATTTTAGACGTTATATTCAAATTGTAAATCCATGTTTGTCAGTGTTTTGACTGCACGGTTGATGCAATTCACCAGCGGGGCAACTCTTTGTGTCGTGCTAGGTTAGCATTGTACCTATGTTTGTAAGCGACGCACCCACGACTAGGGTTGCTAACCATACTTTATAATAACGCATCCTACTTTATTTTTGGTAATCATACTTTATACGTTTACATACAAATAAAGTATTTTCACATAGGTACTTTATTTCCAACCTTCACCACGATACGTGGAATCCATGATACTTAACTATTTAACGGTAGGTATTTATAAGTTAAACATTATTATGGTAAACGACTAATAATTACTGAAAAAGATGTTAGTGATCAGTCATTCAGCAATTATCACAGATGTCGCTATCGACGAACTTGTATGAAAATTGTAGAACGTTTTTGTATAGGTAATTAAAGAAACTAAAGTGGAAATGAATGCTTAAACCTGACGAGTAATTTCGAAATTCAATAAAAAATTAAAACATTATTTTTTCTTATAAATACTTTAGTTTACCTATTCAAACATATACATTATTTTCGTCAAAAAAAGTTGGCAACCCTACCCACGACACAGGCTAAAATAGCAGCGGACAACGCTTGAAGAAATGTATGATAGTTTATTTGCTGGCCAGCTATCTGTAACCTTTTAAAAACATATTTATCTACAACCTTTACCTTTCAACCTTTTGTTTTAATCTTGTTGTTTTCGTGTTAATCTTATCGATTATCTCCGATGACCTTAATCGTCCTTGGTTAATGTCTACCAGGAAAAGTAGGTACTTACCTAGGAGAACTTCATATTAGGAGCTAATAATTCATGCCCTCTACTAACTCCTCGAAATCTCGACTCCCGCATAAGGTAATATGAAAATAAGACACAGTAGAAAATACGTCTACAAGTACTCAGATACATTGTGCCAGACTTTTTTTTTAAGGGGGGATAATCATAGAATGACTGCTCCCGCCTGGGTGAGGCAGGAGGGAGTGTCAGACTCTTACTGATTAAAAACCACCTCGATCCTACTCCTGCTCTTCGAGCTCCGGCTCGGGTTACCCATTAGGCCTTCAGCCGCTCCGTATCGGGCATTAGCCCTACTAGTCCCGATCTGTGGTGGTCTGATGGCTATTGTGTCAGGCTTAGAACTACATTCCGGTAAAAACACATTAATCGCTTATTCATCAGTAAAAATAGGTAATATAAGTATTTTGTCATTATCAAATGAAAAATGTCTTACTTTAATATTCAATTATTATCTTCAATAAACATTATCAATGTCGGTAATTCGATATGTATAGAAAATGACTCATTTCAAAGATTAGGGGCACGATTGTGAATGGAAAAACAAAAAATGGCTGCTAAGTGTTAATTCAATTTCTTATCAATTCAGTCAATTAAATACCTACATTCCTACGTAAATTAAAAATATTAATAATGATTAAATGTAGGTATACTAGCTAGGCAACCTCAAGCGGCGCAAGTATAACTACCTTGCTGGTATTTATATCTTTGAGCCGTTTGGGTTTGAGACGCTAGGTCCGTGGGGTCCGAGTGCGCTTAAATTATTCAAAAACATTTCAAAACGCCTGGTCGACACATCTCGTGACCAGAGGGCTGGTCTTTTTCTAGGTCAGAGGTTAAGCATTGCCATACAACGTGGCAATGCTGCCAGCCTTCTGGGTACTTTCCCCACTGACGTCGATGCGGACGAATTTTTTGATGCTTTATGTACATAGTTGTTTTTGTTTTTCTTTTAAATTATTTTAATCTTAAGTTGTATATATTTTATTATTAATTTAGTACTAGTTAGTTTTAATTTTTATTTTAGTTTTTATTAGAAATAAATACGATCTAGGCAAGGCTATTTTGTAACTTTTAATGCGAAAGATCGAAGTGAACTCGATCGCGGTCCGCCATGTTGTTGTAAGAATAATCTTGACCAATGACGGACGGGAATGAGATCGACCTTACCTCGAATAGCCCAGCTGCTGGCCTGTTGTTGTAAATTGGAACTGATGATTGTTCTTGCTCCAAAATATCAACGGGATTTTATAGCTAGTATCATGACGATTGACAATTGTTATTTACTTAGGTTTTTGATGAAAAATGCAAGCTTTAGGCAAACACCAGATATAGCTATGCAAGAGAAATGCTGAAGAAACATTTAACAATCTGCCGCCCACCTTCGTTCGTATTTACCATATTATTATACAAAACTTTTCCACCATTAACTGGAAGATAATGCACAACTAAACGACTGGGAATTAGAAGGTGAAAATGATTTCCTGTGGAACGTAGGTAAGGACTAAGTCGGAACTTCAAGATTTTTTCAAAATGAACAAGAAAAAGTCCGTTTTCAGCTAGGTTGCAGATAAAAGCTAGTACCTACCTAGCTATTTCAAATACAACATGTTGCGTTCTCTAGATAATACCCTCCTGAGTTATAAATGGACTAGAATCCAACGTCACACAAAATCTAGGTATATCAATACATAGTATAAAACAAAGTCGCTTTCGCTGTATGTCCGTATGTAGGTATGCTTAGATCTTTAAAACTACGCAACGGATTTTGATGCGGTTTTTTTTAATAGATAGAGTGATTCTTAAGGAAGGTTTGTATGTATATACATATTGCACCCGTGCGAAGCCGGGGCGGGTCGCTAGTATTATATAAAAATGAATCCTTTTTTCCCTTGGTCACGGCATCATGCGTGAACTGCTATACCGATTTCACTAATTCTTTTTTTTATTTATTTATTTTTATTTATTTAACACTTCATGTACCTATAACTGTATACAATGGCGGACTTATTGGTTGTATTTGTTTTTATTAGAAGGTTCTTATGACAGAAATAGATCCAAATCCTGGAAATCCTATAAGAACGTGAGAAAATGGGATTGCGCGCGTACGAAGTAGTGGACAGAAACTAGTTATAAAATAATAATTGATTCTTATTTTCCATTCCAGGTGGTAGGAGGTCTGATGATAGTGTTGGGTATCTCAGTATACTCTCATTTCCACAGCTTCTCCTCATTCTACGAGAGTGGAATGATCCGCATGACACCATCGACCCTCAGCGTGTTTATTGGCTTGGCTCTACTGATCATATCCATCTTCGGGTTCTTCGGCAGTTTGAAGCTGAGCACTTGCATGGTCAACGTGGTACGTAATCAGTTAACTAGTTTGAGGATGTGAAAATAATAAGGTTGACATCATCAGAAAATACTTTAATTGATAACATGATTTTATGTAGAAACCTGAGGTACGACACAAATGTATAAAAAAATTATCGAACTTTCTCCGAATGTGCATTTTATCTACAAATCGACTACCTATCACGTCAAAAATCATATGATTTTATTGCAAATTAGGTAGCAATCAATCTGATTTTGTTCGCTGATGGCAACTATTGTCAGACACCTAGTTGCCTTGCTTGATATCCTCACACCCCCTAGCTAAAGGACGATTTAATTTAACTATACAAAGGTTCATTGTAAGAGAAAGTTCCGGGCCAATAGTTAAAAATACGGCTATAATAAATCGTTTAAATTCGACAGTATTTCAGAATAAGCGACAGCAATCTTTCTTATTGGAGTTTTATGGAATTAGGAATAATATAAATTAGGTACGTGTTTGAGTTTGTGTGTGTTAAGCCGCGTTATAAAGCTAATCACAAGACGGCGGCGTGTAGTTCGCACTTACATTTTTTTTATTGATTCGGACTCAGAATCGATACCCGAGTTACTTACCTCCTAGAAAATGACGCGGCTTTAAAACAACACCTTATATAATAAGGTTTGCTTAGGAGTGGTATCCACTTCAGCACATACTCATCAGTTATCTAAGTTCTAACAAATGTGACAAGTGATAGGCCCGCTACTACTGCATCTTGTCATTACCATTTAGAAGATTACCTATTGTCTATGTTGACTCCAAACTAAAATTTCAATCTATAAGTTAGAAATCAGTAACCCGCATTGAGCAAGCATGGTGATTAATGCTGAAACCTTGTAAGAGGCTTTTGATCAGTTGTGGCCACAAATAGGCTGTTGACGATTATGATGTCAATTCCACACAATACTTCAGGATAAGATACTGTTCACTGTTCGCTGCGCTAAATCATCTGAGGCCTTAGTACGAGTTTGTTTTACGCAACGAGTACGCGTTCGGCGCTCTGATTGGTTGGTCTATTGGCGCCGACCAATCAGATTGCCAAACGCGTACTCGTTTCGAATACTTAAAACGTAAATCAAACTCGTACTAAGGCCTCTGATAATCTCATAATCATCTTCGACATAAATTAATTAAACCATTGTCTTTCTTTTCAGTATGCAGTGATCTTAATGCTGGTGTTCATTGTCAAACTAGTTGTAGTAATACTTGCCTTCACTACGACTGGATATGAAATATGGAGACATATCAACGTACCTGTTCACATGTACAGCGATCCTGAGGTCCAGGAAGAAATAGATATGCTGCAATCTAGCGTAAGTAGAACTCATTTAGGTACCAACTTTATATTTTACTCAAACCTTCTTTAAATTATCTAATGATTATCCGATAGCGTCGTACTAATATTATAAATGCAAAAGTTTGTGTTTAGGTACGTTTGTTATATTAACAACATGCCTCATTGGCCGAGCGGTCACAAGTGTGAAAGTCGGGCAAGGGGTCTCGGGTTCGGTTCCCGGGTCGGGCAAAATATTACTGGGTTTTTAAAAATACTCAGTAGTAGCACGGAGTCTGGAATTGTGCCCGGTATATGGCAATAGGCTCACCCCCTATTGCATGGGACTCATAACATAAATAGTGAAAAGTGGGTGTTACATTGTACAGTGGCATAATGTACCTACACCTCTGCCTACCCCTTCGGGGATAAAAGGCGTGATGTTATGTATGTATTTAATAACATGTACCCGCGGTATCCTTTATTTACACGCTACCTAGCAGTCACACTTGGTCAGTTGGTCACAAACCTGTACAACATGATACATTTGACACCTCTACCTTATATTGCAGAGTTATGTGTTATATGTTACATTTAACAGTGGCATTAAGTGCCGTAATGTGCACCTCTGCCTATGCCTTCGGGTATAAAAGTCGTGATGTTATGTATGTATAAAACATATGCTAGGTACTTTTTATCCCAGGGCGCTGCCGCTGGCAGAAGTTAGTAAAAAGTAATATAATAAAATATATCTGGGTAAATTTGCATTATTTACACCCGAAGGCAAGACTGTGTGACCAATGAAACAGTATCAAAAAGGATCAAAGTGAATGAATAAACGAATGAGGAAGAAGTAGCTACTATCCAAAAATTATAACGCAACGTTTACACCATGTTAAGCAACCTTCATGGCGGCTTAAGAGCCCTTTCTTATTCAAATCCAAGTGTATTTGTTTGTCTTATCTTTATTGTGTAGATAAGCTATAATGTACTATATCTACTGACTTTCGCATGTAGATAGGAAACAAGATATTTATTATAGTAGCGACCCGCCCCGGCTTCGCACGGGTGCAATATGCATGTATTATACATACAAACCTTCCTTAAGAATCATTCTATCTATTAAAAAAAACCGCATCAAAATCCGTTGCGTAGTTTTAAAGATCTAAGCATACATACGGACATACAGCGAAAGCGACTTTGTTTTATACTATGTATTGAAGGTGGATATAGCTACACAGTTATGATAGAGACCCTACATTTACCTACATGATGACGTAATTACAGGAAATAGAAACTATATCGTTGGTTTCTCACATGGTTTTTGGGTTCGAATCCCAAGCCAGTAAGCCAGTTCTTCATCCTCATTATTGTAAACCAGGTTCATCCACTGCTGGATACAGATTTTTCCTATTGATAATCATACTTTTTTGGTTCGTTCGTCCCTCATACATCCGTTTCTACGACAAAATGTAATCCATTGGAAAAGTACCTAAATGTAAATTTTTGTCAACTCTTTTCTGCAGTTCAGTTGCTGCGGCAGTTACTCCTACATGGACTACTTGGACGTGGTGTTTGGGCCCAACCAGCCTACACTGCAGGCGTCCATGATAATTGATGGGGACCAGGTCAGCATGACCTTACCTAGAACATGCTGTCTAACAATCGATGGAAATTTCTGTCAACGTGTATCAGGGATCGGATGCAAGGATGCACTAGTAAACGCTATGGTGCAGAACTCGACTGTCATCGGTGTTCTTGGAATATCTGTGATGTTTATCAATGTGAGTATAGAGTTCATTGTTTATTTATGATTATAGATTTTCACGCCGATTAGCGATTTGACCTATTGTTGAACTTCAATGAGCCGTTTCAAAATTGATAAGGAACGATTTCATTGATGTGACTTAGGACCTATTTAAAGACGATGTAGTTTAAAGTTTTAACGTAGGTTACTTAAAGGACGTCGCGGAGAACCTAACGGGTTACCGGGGCTCCGGCTCGAAGTGCAGGAGTACGAACGGGGTGGTTTTTAGTCAGTAAGAGTCTGACACTCCCTCCCGCATTACCCAGGCGGGAGCAGTCATTCGATGATTTTCTCCCCTTAAAAAAAGGTTTCTTAAAGGATTAACTTTTCTATACATTTTTATATATTTATCTACCTTTTGTCTAGTTTTGCATACGTAAGGTGTCTACACAAATATTTAATCGGTATTTAAAAGTGTATATCAGTTCCTTATCTTTGTTCTAAATGTTTGAATCTTCGTTTGGTTGCTGAAGAGAAGTACACACAGGCTGGCCTAGATTAAGTTATTAGGCGTCTATTCTTTGTGGGGAAACACCGTGTCCTACTTCCTAGGACTACATTTATAGATAACATTATTTACACGAGTATCAAATTAATCTAATTATTATTTAATTTTACTAGATAACTAGTGGACACATCCAATTAGGTTCAACAAACTAAAGATTTTATTTACTCGCTCCAAAAAGAGCATTATTTAAATATGAATTTAAGAGATAAAAACAGTAGTGCATCACGATGCACACAAAGACAGGTAATATAGTCTTATAAGTCCCTAATATAAAAAATATTTATATTGCAGTTACTCGGCATAATATTTGCTCTACTCCTGGCACGTAGTATCCGCAAACTGAAGAGTGTCAGAGTTTTGCTCGCGTGGAAAGTTCGAGAGAGGGTTATTGTAGCACGACAGGCCGAGGAAAGGCAGCAAACTGAGGCAAACCAAGTCTACATCGACCCTCAGTCATCAAGCACAGCATAATTTGGAAGACATATTTTATAGGATTTATTTTGCATTTACTTATTAAGGTAATCATTAGGCTGTGAAGAATCGCCTATCAGTCGTTTAATCAAGTTTTTTTTACATATCACTGACATTTTAAGTAGTTATAAGGTATTTTAGACTAAGGCGCATGTATCAATTATATAATCAGTTTCTGAAATTCTTCAATCTATAAGTCCACCTTTTGTATAAGAGTGTGTCCACATCTAGCGAATGCTCTGCGAATGCGCAGCTCGCGAGCGGCACATTCGCCAGATGTGGACGCACCTTAAGACACTCAATTCTATAATAGGTAAGTAGTAGAACATGATTACTTATCACTGATGGTCATAACACTTTGTATTTGTCAATCTATTATTGTTTAATATACGTTTACAATTAATTTGATGTTTTATTTGACACTTTTGAACTTGAAATGAAGACCATTGACCAGCTAAAACATTTCAACCTTTTGTCCTTTTAAAGGACAATTTACGAAAAATAACAAAAAAGTATTTTACTACAGAGGGCAGAAGTATCAAACCAAGGTAAAATATAAAGAATAAATATAGAGAAATAAAACTCAGAATATGGAGTGCATATTTGGCATTTATTAAGAAATCCTTTTCCAGCTCAGCAACGACATACAATAACTTAGGAACTTAATATTAAAGAAAAATGTTAGGTACAACACTGGTATCTACAAGTATTAGAGACGTTGTTTAACGAATTAATAAAGGTTTTTGCGCCACTAGAGGCGCCAGTGTAGCTTAAGATCTATTGACCAATAGAACATTTGTTAAAACGTCAAGTCAATAATCAGTCCGCCTGTGAAAACTAAACTCATTGGATTAATAGGACTTTACACCTTAAAACACCATGTTGTAAGTGCAAAATTGAATACCCACATTAGTCAAATCAGGAACCGACGTTACGAATTAATTACAAAATCCGTCATACACAGAAATATCTAAAAAACTTAAAGCAATAATATTGTTTGTTATCAGAGCATTACAATGTGATAAATAATTTTATAGCTAATTTGCTAATTACTTGATAATTTTCAAGAAAAAAACCTTGCAAAGATACCAATGATACAAAAAACACAGTTTTTATTTATGTATTACATAGTACCTCTGATTAAAATGTATTTATTCATTTATTTATTTTAGTCTCGTATTTAATACTGCGATTTTCTAGAACACATTGGATGCACATAATTGCTTTGAATAATATAATAAATTTATTTTATCTAAACAGGTTTAATTACCATCGAAATAAAATAAATAAAACATGAGTGCAATGACCTCGGGCAATGAATTTACAATTTTCGGAGGCCGTAACGCATGAATTATATTTTTCATTTTTGGTTTTTCTTTATAGAAACGAACTACAGTCGCCATTTTGCTGCCAGAGACTGGGATATAGATATTATCATAAAACTTGAAAAGTTACTCTATGATGATATCACTTATCTTCTTATCAATGATGAAACAGAATGGAGGCCTACTTTTAACTGTAAAACAACGTAATATTTTTCGATAAACATTGTTTTTATATACATTTTATTTCATTTTAATATGTATGTATGCAGACACTGACCTAAGGTCTATATTCGCTTGCCTCCTGGTAAAATATAGTTGAGCTCGCAATGTACACACGGCCACACATCAATCTATACAAAACCAGTTTATCCTGGTGTCGCGTCGCATCATCTTTCCGCACATTTAACGTTCTGTTTATACCGGTTATGTAAAGCTCGATGTGTAGCCGTGTGAACCTAAACACCACATATTGTATTACCCATATTTGCAAATAAACTATCTTTATCTTTAGGGAGTTTTTACGCAGTCAGGATCTCTAAGATGTAAGTAAGAACAGGTCAAAAATGCGCCGAATTCTACTTCACACCTACCACAGCGATAATTGAAACTGATGACGAGTCTGTTACACTATTATTTACTGTTGGCCACACTGCATGTTAACGCTATCTCCTAAATTCAAATTTCGGAAATATCAAGCCGTTTTGCTTAGTGTAACCACATCTACATTTTTATACTGTGGTGGAACTATCACAGTCACTCACAATGTGCTGATTAGATGCCACCCCACCCATACATAGTCATAAAAACCCGTAAACATAAAAGTCAAATGTCAACGCAATAAAAGATAATATTGCTTAATTGCTGGTAAATAAATAACATTGTAATTAAAGCAATATTTTGATATAGGAATAAATTATGATGAATTTGTCATTCCTATTGAATGACAAACTAATACATTAGGCACAGATTTACTGGCTGTTGGAAGTTACTGTTGGGGCTGGGGTCCTTTGTTCATCGGCAGACATGTTGTTGATGATGATGACAAACATATATTGGATATTGAAATTAAGAATATTAAAATTGGTGGAAATGTTGTCTTAAAATTGGTTTCTCAAGTGTTGTTGAGAAATCTAGCAAAAACTATGAAATAAAAATATCATAAATATGTTACCTAAAAATCGCGGGTTACTCACGTGAATATACTGCTCATTAGGAAGAATCCCTCTGTGGTTCGAAACTAGTAGAGCTTTTCTCAGTATATTCACGTGAGTAACCCGCGATTTTTAGTGAACTTAGTATGTCTCACGATAGTTATTATAAAAACATCATAAATATGTGTCCACTGAGAATCAAAGTAAGTTCTACACTACATCTACCGCTATAACTAAATTTACCACATAGCTCAAATTCTAAAACCAATAAACATACTCCATCTACAATCAAAATAATTAAAACATTGAAAATAGGATGAAATTAAGTTAAAAATAATAGGATCTAGCGACTTAAAACTACAAGAAATTATAAAATACTTTTGGGTGCATTTTGTTGCTCAATGTTGACTACTATCACAATTAATAGCAATTTAAAATATTTAGGAATAATTCAGCCACAAATTATTTTGGAAGCATGAAATGAACAGCTATAATTCCAATGAAAATATTGTAAAGTGATTTTCTTCTGGTATTACCATATTTGCTCCATATAATATTGTAGCTAAATATTGTTTGGTTTGTTACAAACTTCAAAATTATCTATCTAAGAAAATATAGTTGTAACATAAATATTCTGGTGATGCATTCCATAAAGCTCTGTAAGTGCGAGTGTGTATGTAATACTATGCTGAAATCTAATTATATATTTAACACTGAATCAAGTCAGTGGCTCTTTACCCAAATTTTCAATACCTATTTAGGGCTTATTTCATCACCTAAATTTCAACAGTATGTTCTATTTAAGTATTTGGCAATTCATTCTGTAAATTTTCTTATTAAGAAAGTTTTAAAATATGTGCAGCTGTAGCCAAATGCAATTTAGCGCTTGTCTACATGTAGAATAGAAAACAAAATTATATGAGATTGACGTAAATTTTGACACTTGTCAGTGTCTCTGTAGACAAGCGCTAAAGTGGCGTCTAGCTAAAGGCACTGTGTAGCTAAGCTACGACATGTTGCAAAGACAAGTGGTTAGTCCAAGATGACAAAATATGCCCTCAATTTAACTACTAATATACAAAATAAATTAAATATAAACTAAAACTAAAATTCCGTCATTTGTCTAGTGGTAACAAATACTAACTTTCAGAGTTCCAGAATGTTCTATTCTAGGCTATTTGGTTTTCAACCTTTTTGTTTTGCCCGATCAACGGGGAAATTCCTGGAGATTTAATAATATCCATTACTCCCATATTATCATTAGGTATTTGAGGTTCTACGGTATCATATTTTTTATCTTTGTGGTCCCAGAAATTTTGCCCTATTTTTCTGATGGTATTGCCAATTTCTTGCTGGTCACCGTTTAGGTATGGTGGGGTAAATTCTCTGTATGCAATGCACACCCTCCTTGTTGTGATGTCCTCACGAAGAACGCTGTGTTCCCAGTGGTATCTTGCTTCTCCATAAATAATTATTAGAGACCTCCTGGAATGATATGACAAAATATGTTAATACACTACACACATCAGACATAGAATATTTGTTTACTGAAATAATGGGTAAAGACCTACAGGGATATTTAAATTGTATTTTCATTAACTCGTCGAGAACCGTCATTATAGAACAATAGGTTGCGGTCACCGGTGACCGCTTGGTGTTTGAGAGTTTAAAATAGATGGTAGAAATTTGAATATATGGAAATGGGCATATAATGTATTTATTACAGACAGTAACAGATAGTGGCAGCAAACTTTTTACTGATACTGATTTTAGGGGTCACTAGAAACTCATTGCATTGATACAAAGAAGGTTGCATCATGGAAAAGGTATCAAATGTTGCCAGTAACAAAGCTAAAAGACAAGTACTAAGTATAGTACTTGTGTGACCTTGCCTACAATCACATCTATGTCATAGACTCATTAAATATTGCACAACATTTTACTATTTTCATGATTCAACATTAAAATTGTGCAATATGGTACTAGAATGTTTTAAAATAGATTATTGATTACTTAAGTACTTCAAAAAGTGTTTGATAATATATATTTTGTTAGTATTTACCAAGATATATGTTAAATAAAAATTAGAAATTGTGATAATATACCTTGGCATTGGTATCCTAATTATAATATCATTGGGGAGTGAAGATTTACATGCTTCCAACATTGATTTGTCCTCTTTGTGGCCTTTTAGTATACTGCCATCAGTATCAACCACAGGGCCATATTCTTCAGCGCAATTAAGATTATATTTCTTCAGGTCACCCTTGAATGTGGTCATTGTCAGTGCTGTGTCAGATAAACAGTTGACTGTGATAATCCTCTCACCCCATATCCAGCAGTCATCTATATGAGGATCAATAGAAGCTCCCTTACTCGGGTCATATTCCAAAGAACATTGCTCAATTACATAGTAGTCTTTCAGCAAATCAATACTACCAAATCTCTCCTGCAAATATTTCGAGAACGCTGGAAAACCTTCGAATTTACCAACAACAACTTTTTTCTTCTTAAAGTTAGTCTTCGGGCCATAATTCTGCTTCCTTCTACCGCTTTGCGATATGTCCCATGGCACCTCATCGATGTTTCTCATCAAATCTCTTTCTTCTTCTTCCGATATGAAATTCAATTGGATGTACACACCAGGATATTCTATAGAGTCGCCTTCATGATTGGGATGTTGTTTGTAAGAGTTCAAGTCCCAGCCTCTCCAGGCTTTATTACAAAAAGGACAATAAACATAACCTTTACTCTTATCCAATTCCAGCTGTAGCTTCAAGTTTTCAGCTCCATATTGTGTTTCACAAATTAAACATGTTCTACAACCTTTACAACCACATGGCCGAGGCTTGGTCATTGTTTCACAATGATTGTTAATACAAACAATCGATGATCGAATTTATAAAACCATTCGATTGATTTCACGAATTTACGATACTCCGTGGCGACCTAGCAAGACTGACTTTGACACTGACAGAAATATACTATGTCTGTCATCTTTATTTAGAGTCAATCTACAGAAAAAAAACCGTTAACGTCACTTTGACATTTACGATTTTTATTTGTACTTATGTACTTATAAATACGGTTCCTTTCTGCCGTCATCACTCGACACTGGCAGTATAGTCGACAACATCGTATTGGAGACTCGGTAGCCAAAGAAGAAAACCGAAATACTTGATTAACTTGCGATGTTCTTTCTTTATATAATAATATTTATTTTATTTCTGTATTTGATATTTTATGGGGTTTAAGCAGTATGTTTCTGAATAAAAACACGTTAAAGATAACTGATATTAATTTTATTCATTCTTTAATTATTATGTATATAAAAACAGGTTGCCTTTCTGAAACATTGAGTAAAATAAGTTTTTAATTAAATAATACTATGTTGAACATTTTGAAATATTTAGGTCTAAAGTAATAAAAATAACATTTTAATATTCACAAAAGAAAAGAAGATAGGAAAGTTTTGCTGGTACCCTGCTGAAAATGATATGTTTAGTAAAATGTTAATTGTCTTGGACAATCTAAAACGAATATGCATCAACAAGATTAACTTAATGTAAAAAACTATAAAATACCCATTATAAATTGAAAGCTACTACTATATTAAAAGTATATTTTAGTGATTGAGAAGCTTTTCTTCGTGAAATGCATTAATATCATTGAGAAGATTTTAGTTTTACTAAAGCATTAGAAATATAAATAAGTTTAGATACAACGACTAGATAAGATATTTTTAATGATATATTTTTTCTTCCCTAAAATTCTTACCTTTAACTTCACTACATAAACCCACATAATAATTGTTAAGGCACTCAAAGCGCTTTCATATATTTGAAATTTGTGAAAATCTTACAGGATTCAGGTGGGTATGATCAGATTTTATTTATTTCTGAAAGTATTAGCTCCAAAGGCTGAAAGATTTCATATTTTCATGTTTTGGGTCAATGTAGCGCCACATCCAGGTGGTCCATGATCAATATGTTTTTGTATACATAATACTTAATTAATAATACGAAGTTTTACGTCTTCTGCTCCATAAATATGTTAATTATTTATTTTCTAACCATGCATTAGTTTACAATGTTTGTTGTAAAAATGACAAATTAAAAGAGGAGATACTTAACATACAAAATTTTCGTTTGTGGCCTGCCACATTCCGGAAGTCCTCGTGATATATATTTTATACTTAATTAATATAATATAATTACTTTTATGTTGTATATCTAATATGTAAATGGTGCTTCTGCCTACAATGATTAATGTACGCTTTGTATTCAAATAATTATTATTCAGTGTCATTAGCTTAGATTTTAAATCAAATTCTGTTTTGATGAATTTCAATTAGTATGAAAATGTATTGCATTGAAAGATACAATTTTTAATTTGATAATTAATAAATCATAAGCACCAATATTAGTCGGTAGCTAATTTATAAATTACGCTTTTTCAGATAAAATGTCCAACATTCACCTATATCATAATTTGTGCAAATTTTTATTAACAGACCAATATATTTTTCTTAACATTGTAGCGTGATTAATACTACGCATCTATAATTATAATATGCAACATTAAAATGGCAGTGAGTCACGTAAACCTACTTAACTAAAATATAATAGACAAATTTTCATGTAATCTTCGATATTTTTTGTGATAAAAGTTGATAAAGGTGTCGTGTTTCGTTACATTTCTGGGATATCTGACAAGAATTTATATCTTGTTAACCATCCTCAAAGTATGTTTGCATTGCAATTAGAAATTCATTGCTTTTAATGCTAAAACCACAATATCTGTAAAATCCATGGACGTTCCTCGAGAGGTTCAATCCAGTTCATCAAAATCCAGCACTTTGAAAGTGGGATGAGAGATAAGCGCGTGGGGCGGCGGCGAGGGCGTGGGAGGAGCTACCACAACCGCGGGCGGCCGTAGACCCTGCGCCACTTTATGCTAATCATCCACCAAATCCCACAGCATTAAGGCAGCATCAGTTCCTCCAGCGCTGATCATGCAGCGATCATTGAATAAGAAGCGAGCGCTGTATATCGCACCGCTGTATACCTTCATTTCATTGTATTCTGCTTTTGGACTTGCACAAGGATACCTAAGAACAGAATAAGCATTAAATAAAATAAAGCTAATAACACTTATAAATATTTTGATTGTAAGTGAATGTATAGATGAACCTACCTGAACAAACGCACGTATCCGTCCAGATCACCACTTACAAGGAGATCATGAGCTGCAGATCGACTTGCCGTAGATATTAGAGTGGTCATGGGATAGAATCGATTATTCCACATTCCTAAGGACAAGAATATTTCATTAGGATAAAGATAACAAAAGAATTCATTTGATTTTTAAATATAATCTTACCTGATACAAGGAATCCAACAGTAGAGTTGTAAGTAGACCATTTAACATCTTTCATGGCGATAGGACTTTTTTCTGGTGATAAAGACTTAATATCCCCTGGAAAATTTATAAAAAGTTATATAGACAAGCAGTTCGGCTATGAAATGTAAATAAATTATGAAAATCAACTTACAAAAGGCAAGATCGTAATCCGCAGTCACAGTTTGTAAGTAATTCCCGTCTAAACTCCAGTCAAGTTGCACGAGAGCTTGAGCTCCTCGTATTTTATTCGATTTCTTGTATGAAAACCCATCACGGGACACACGGAACAAATAAATGCTACCGTTTTGTGACCCTATTGCAAGAGTGTCGCCAGCTGAAAAATTAACATTAAGAACTTGTTAAGAATAGTTGAAATGAATATGTTTTGGATTATTATTTCTATGTTCCTTATTTCCGCACCTTCAACACAGATTTTTCTATAGGTTGAATATCCTTTCAACAGTATATAAAACAATACATTATAATTAAATATTGGTTTTAATTCTTACCGGAATTATATGCTAAACAACTGAGCGGTGAGCCACAAACTCGTAATGTGGCTACGTGGGCACCCGCATCTGCATTTAGAACTACGAGATGACCCTCCGTGCTGCCTGCAGCCAGGGCGCCTCCACTAGGATGCCACGCCAGAGATACACACTCATATCCAACCTACAAATCATTTACAATAACGTTTAGCGGCAATAAGGCCTATTATACTAGACATAACGATGATAAAACATCTCTAAGAAGTATATTTTGTGTAGAACTAGTGTTCTACACAAAATATACTTCTTAGTAGTAGTAGTTATTATGGCCACACCTATGTACTAACATAACAGTTGACTATACTTTACCTGTGTAGCAAAAACAAGTTTATGACCCTTCCATAGAGCAATATTTTTGTCGTGTCCAGCCGTCGCAAACATTTCATCATCAGGATGGACGGCTAGGCCCATCAGCTGCTTGTGATGTCCAAACACCACCTGTAACAGACGCATTTTTCATCGATCACTGAAATAGTATTTTATACACATATTACGGTAGACATCCTTCGAATATCTTAAATTTGTTTACTATATAATTATATAAATACCTGGTTAAATCTCCTTTGCAAAGAACCTTCCATGATATTGTTGCGTGTAGTACCAACATAAATGTTACCATCATTTCTGCCAGGTCTTTGTGGGTAGATACTCCGAACACCACCTACAGACTCAGGCAACTGAAAACGATAAATCATATTTAATACTACGAAGCTCAAAATTTCTGTATGAATAAGTAAGTACAGAAACCGTTAAAGAAACCTTCGTTTCTGTTATTCTCTTGTAATTTTGAAGAGAATCCCATGCAGCTATTTTCCTATCCTTTTCTCCTCCTGATATTAAAGTCCCTTCAGAGAGCATTACCAAAGAACTAATGCCTTTGATGTGAGCCTGTAAATGAAACAAAGGTGATTAGTAGTAGACCCTTTGAACGAATTTTTGCTTCATGTGAACTTTTTCAGTAACATTTTGGTTTACCTCAAATTCCATTCGCACAAAGTAAGCTCCATCACTATCGACACTGTATATTGTGATAAAACCATCACTATCAGCGGTTACAACATCACCATCTTGTTCAAACTGCAATGCAGTTACATGGGTGCGCGATGGCTGTAAATATAAAGATAATAAAAAAACCGGTAGTTACGGTTTTTGATATTTTACTTCACTCTACAACTTACGCGGGAAATGACTCGCGCGTTCCATAGCTGACGAAGACAATGCACAAATTAAGCAATTAAGCTGAAATATTATTTAATTTTAAATATATTTGAGTAAATAAGTTTTACTTACTGGTTTGATGATATCGGTGCGTTCGAAAAATCCATCTTTTCTACGATTCCAAAACGCTAAATGTCCTTTTCCGTGAGTGATGAGCAAGTTATCGTCAAGTGGATGGAACGCGGCACCTGTTAGCTCCTCTTGCAAAGTCTGCAAGTCGACAATGAAAAGTTAAAAATATTTAATATTAATATAAGTTGCATTGTATTATTACAAAAGATAAAAGATAAAATCCTGAAAAAATAAATACAACAACATAAACTAGACTTGAACCAGCAGTTCTACAACCTCCAATACACGATGCATTCCCCGATGCATTGGAGGTAACCGCTGCACTGGTAAAAAATTCTTCAGATTTACGTTTCCTTGAAGAATTCTTAACATTTTAACGTTAAATTTAATAGACGTATTGTGCCATCTACTGTTACAAGTTTTTAAACTGATTTTCATTTGTTATTAATTCGGAAACTTATTAATTCACACTAAGTAGCTAAATAATAAAACCATAGGTAAAAAGGCCCTAGGTACAAGCAAAGTGTTGTATTAGTTACGCTTTACAGTTTTTTCTGCATGCACAAGTAAAGACCGAGGTCGCGTGACCGATAAGATGTAGCTTGACAATTATGAAGAATTATTACTTGGCTAGCGAGAAAAATATTTTCTTGTATAAAAATAGGTGTTACTTGAGATCAACGTTATGGTTATTAACAATGATTAAGCGTTGTATAGCATGGCATTTTAAAGTATTACTTTAGTCTATGACGGGTCATGTTAAGAGGGTTTTAAATAAGTCAAAGTCTAACCAGCACTTAATGGGCAAAGTACCTAAGCTAAGCCCCATGGAAGAAAATAAACCTTCCCTCAAATAATCCGTCAGAATAAATAATTGTATTGTCTATGATTCTACAGCTTGCGATTGTCTACGGGTCGATTTTCGGAAACATTGTTATCGTCACTTCAGACCCTTTCTTTTCACGTCTAGACATAGGCTTCTCTAATATCATTCTCACGTCACTGAGCTCGATCTTCAAGCTCGTAATATACAGCCTCTGCCTATTGTACTTTTCCAGAATTAGGAAGTAGAATTTTAATCGTAACAGACAAGACAACGTATTTATTTAGTGCAATTTATACTTCATTGAACTTGCAGACCTTGTTAAATTAGTGTTCCTATTATGAACTCGTAAATGTTACCACAAAAAATATTGGTTTTAGAAATTAGTGCACATAACTTTTAAAGCTAAACCGTCTATTAGGTAAATCTAGGCCATTAGAACAGTTTAGTAATAAATTATTTCTTTTTACGAGTAATTATTACAATCACCATTTAGTGATTACAACAAAATGTCTATAAACGTTTGTATTTGAAAGTTGTATTACAAAAAAGTTATTTACGTGTCGCCTTTTCGTAGCTCGTAGCAATTTCGTAGCAGTATCGTAGCTAGGGGGCGTGGCTACGTATAGTGTGTTGAACTTGCGACCAACAACACTACGAACTGATTTATGTTTTCTGAGAGCTTGCATTTGCGCGGTTTATCGTAATCTATGGTGGTGGACTTTTGTAGTTTCTTTGAAATCGCAAAAAAATAGTTTTTGTTGATTGTTTATTTTGTTTTGTTTTCCAGAAAACAACGCAATTGTTATTGGTTTTCTGTAAGGTCTTGGTATCAGTCCGGTTGAGCTGGCCCATTTGTAGGTACATAACTACATGATCTACCTAAGTGATTATTGGCACGTATTCTAGAAAAATTCTTTGCTGTAACACGTTGAAGTTAACGACTTCAATTCTGCAAAATTACGATTCCATTAGCATTTACATATTTGAATAAGTACCTACAAAGTATAAAACATTCTGTGCCTGCCCATATGACCTACCCACATACGATTTTGTAACTAAAATTTAACTAAAACCTGAATTTATAAGAATGTCCTCGACGACAACTTGTGAAATAAATGCATTGTGCTAGTGCTATATCTTAGATCCTATCACTTCGTTAAATTAAAAAGCGGGGACGATTTAAACACGTCACCATTGTTGGAAGACTATCGCGTTGGAATCGTAAAGGTGGGGTTACACTAGTGAGTATGCACCAGTATGCACTATGCTGTAGGTACTTATTATTAATTATTATATAGATATAAGAAAATGCGTGAGGAAAAATCTTTATATCTCGTAAAGCTAAGCTGACAGACCTAAATGAGATGACTATTTTAACATATGTAGGTCCAAAACAAATAAATTTTGTAAAATATATTAGACAGCCTCGTTGGCCGAGTGGTTGCAATTGCGACTGCCGGGCAAGGGGTCTCGGGTTCGGGGCAAGGAGTCGGGAGAGTTTTGAAAAAAAAAGTCGAAAAAAAAGCACGGAGTCTGGAACTGTGCCCGGTATATGGCAATAGGCTCACCCCCTATTACATGGGACTCATAACATAAATAGTGAAAAGTGGGTGTTACATTGTACAGTGGCATAAGTGCCGTAATGTACACCTCTGCACCCATTCGGGGATAAAAGGCGTGATGTTATGTTTATATTAGTTAAAGTCACATTTAACTTTCTGAGTGTCTTTGAACTAGATATAACTAAGAAAAGTTTTTCTACGGAACAATTTATCCTACAGAATACCACCGATTTCTTGCAAACTCGGTACATTACCACCAGTTTTAATACAAAGTTTACCTACATCGCGCCACGGGGGTAAACACTGAACATGTCGCCACATCTTAATGTGTGCCCCAACCTTGAGGTCACAAGGCCACAGACACTACGTCATACAATGTACATTCACTGTTTATCTAGATTTTATTTATCGTAACGACATATTAAGTACTTCACGAATACCTGAATGCAGATAAGTTTAGTTTAAGTACTTAAATATTTATATCTCAAGGTTAATTTTCGGAATGCATAAATTATTCTTGGACTATGTTCTCTGTGGTCTAAATTTTAATAATTTAATGTAATATATTGCTTAAAGCTTAAATACGTCATATAGTTTTGTAAGCAGTCTTGTTAGAATTTACAATTAACTTAGTTCTTTGAATAGAGTTAACATATTTTTTTTTGTGGAATAGTAGGCGAACGAGCAGACGGATCACCTGATGGTAAGCGATCAGCGCCGCCCAGGGACACCCACAAATACTTCTTTTTTATAAGATAAGCCGGTTAACGGGCTGACGGATCACCTGATGGTAAGCAATCGGTGTCGCCCATGGAACCCGAAACACCAGAGACGTTACAAGTGCGTTACCGGATTTTGGGAATTAGGAATTTGAGGATTGTTGGGGATTCGGGGATTGGGGAGACAGGAGAAATTGAGTCTCCGGTAACCTCACTCACACGACGAAACACAACGCAAGCGTTGTTTTTTATGCCTGTTTTCTGTGAGGACATGGTATCACTCCGGTCCAGCCCATTCGTGCCGAAGCATGGCTCTCTCTCACTTATACACACAAATATAAACAATTAATGAAAAAATTTGGTTTTCTGACCAAGCATTTCTTCACTTAACAACTAAAGGGTCGAAGAAAACATAAAAACTGTAAACTTACCGCAACTTTTCCTAGTAAATGCCCCCACTGCCACTGCCACACAGAGAGAATACTCTCGCGGCCAGCGTCCACCGCTAGCACGTAACTGCCTCCATTCTGTTGCAAAAATACTAATCAGTACAAATTGCTAACGTAGAATACATTAATTATAATGTTTTCGGCTTACTCACGTAATTATTTGACGAGAAATTAGATCAGTTTCAAGCCATGCTTTTTTTTTTAAGGGGGGAAAATCATCGAATGACTGCCCCCGCCTGGGTGAGGCGGGAGGGAGTGTCAGACTCTTACTGACTAAAAACCACCCCGTTCCTTCTCCTGCACGTCGAGCCGGAGCCCCGGTTACCCGTTAGGTTCTCCGCGACTCCGAATCGGCATCGGCCCTATTGGGCCCCATCTGTGGTGGTCTGATGGCTCTTTGAGGCGCGCGCGGAACGCGACGCGCCGTACGCTCGGGTCTGTTTCTGGTCGGACGGGGAGCCACCCATGCTCGCCGTCCGCAGGCCCGCGCTTACGGTGGCCGGAGATCGTCCCGCGATCCCCGACGCCCGGTGTGTCCTTCGCGACGGCTGGGTTGCGAGGAGGCAGCGCTTCGCTGCCTCACGCGTCCCGCCTCCTCCTTAGCTAGCATGACTGCTTCGCAAAAGGAGGAGACGGCATCCCAATCCCCCTCGCTCCGCATCATGGCCTGCACTAGGCCCGGACGCGAGAGGTCGCCATCGCCGATCACTTCCCTGAGGACACGGCGGTGCTCAGCCCACGAAGGGCATTCTCCCACCGTGTGTTCCACCGTGTCCTCAGGGCGGTCCTCGCAGTGATGACACCCGGGCGTTTCCTCCCGCCCCATCAGACACAGGTACCTCCCGAAACTGCCATGTCCGGTGAGGACCTGCGTCAGGCGGTAGGTGAGGACGCCGTAGCGTCTCTCAAGCCACTCCTCAAAGAGGGGACTTACCGCTGCGATGGCAGCGAGCCCATTCAAGCCATGCTAGAGGCTCATATTTATGAGCAGCGTTTTTTTTTTTTTTTAATTGTTTGTTTTAAACTACATAAATGTGTACAATAAAGCATATATAAATAAATAAATAAATAAATAACTGACGTTTGTGGACACTGGCAGTATAGTCGACAATATTGTTTTGGAGACTCGTTTGCCAAAGAAGAGAGAAAAAGAAAAATCTAATCTATCTATCTAATCTATCTAATCAATTTATTGTCATTCAACGTAGCAATGCTACCAGCCTTTTGGGCACCTTACATCATGACAATGATGAGTACTTAAATTTTTTGACGCGTTTTAAGTTAGTTTTTCCTTTATTTTTTTTCTCTATATTCCGCATGTTAGTTAATTTTAGTTGTAAATTCTTTAGTTTTTATTAGTTTAGATTACATGCTAATAATAGTTTATTAATAAATAAAGTATCTTCATCTACAATCTTACAAAATATCTACATTGTTCACAAGTACTTACAAGTTGCGAGAATGCAACAGCAGAGACTCCAGCTTCAAACTCGGCCATGCCGAACACATGCAGTGTCTGTAGCGTGTCGGTGCTCCATATGCGGACATGCGCCTGCGCTCTCCGGCCGCGACCTGCGCGCTGGCCACTCGCCACCAACTCTCGGGATGGATGCAGTTCCATGCTGGTTCAACAAAGATGACTTTAAATATATTTTAATCCTTTATTTACGTGCCTGTGGCGAGACATGTCACATGTCAATAGATGACGTCATAAAATCCTACATTGCACATGCGAAGTTTACAATCGAATTAATACGAGTAGAAAATCCCAACGAACACCTGTTGGGCAGAAAGCCCGCCAGGCACGATCACCTCGCCTGGTAGGAGGATCCTCCTTTTCCGATTTTAGGGAACTTTACTCTCTGTTCCCTAAATGCCCACAGAAAACGCTAGCGCCGGTAACTTGTATCTCCCATAACCTCTAAAGAATGTAAAAATGAATTTTGGGTAAGTGTTATATATAGACTTATTTTCTCAACATGTATTTATCTGACCAACTTTAAACTTCAAAAACAAAAAAAGAGAATTGTTAGTTGGCAAAATTTAATCAATACAAATAAAGTCTCAGTAGCATTTTTGTTTTTGAGGGAAACCATCCTATGACTTCTCCCGCCCGGATGAGACGAGATAGTGTCGAAAGTCGAAAGGAAAGTCGCAGTAGCCTGCGACTAGCTTTAACAATGTGATTACTTGATTAGGAATTGTAAAACTGTACCATTGTATGTCTTCGGTGTGTCCTGTGTAGTGTCGCTGGGACTCTTCGTCCCTGTCATACATTATGGCGACGGCCGCCACGTAGTACAGCAGCTCGCCAGTCGGTAACACCCACAAGTTGCGACGCGAATCCGATCCACGATAGCCGTAACTGTTTGAGAGAAAATCACTATAAATGTAATATTGCAATGATTAAAGTTTATATACAGCAGCGCGCGTCGCGGGTCACGGAATGCTGCTCATTAATATGAGCCTCTAGCATGGCTTGAAACTAGGCGAGTTCCTCGTCAAACAGTTATATGAGTAACTACAATCGCGGGATACTCGCGTGTGTAGTTATAAAGCTCTATTAGTTATAAAGGTAGTAGTTAAAAAGCTCTACTAGTTTCGAACCACAGAGGGATTCTTCCTCATGAGCCCGAAAATCACGAAACTAGTAGAGCTTTTCTCAACTATATTCACGTGACTAACTCGCGATTTTAGTTAATTTAGTATGTCTCACGATAGTTATTATAAAAACAGAGTTACGTGAGTAAGCCGAAAACAGTGTTCATAATGAAATAATAAGATCAAGATATGATATGATATCACTCAAAAGATCAAATACGATTCTTCTACAAGAAGCAATTGTCAACAAATCGAACGATCTCCAGGCTCGACATACGAACAAATCATTTGGATTTCTCTCTGTACTGTAAAGTACTAGAAAACGGAACATATATCATGGTAAAATTTTATATTATAATACTAATAAATACTAATATATTTGGAGAGATAAAGAGTTCATAAAATGTACTGTACTTACACCCAATCTAATTGGAGTTTCTTCTCTGGCGGTGAGTTATCGATTGGTGCGTGGTGTATCGGGGGGTAGAATGTGCGCCGAAGACCTCTGATTGTGACCCTGATCGGCTCCTCTTTTAAAACTTCCAACAAAGTGTAATCTGAACAACAATATATTGTTACTGTATTAGTGTATTAGGTACTTATGCTATGGATTCTCTACATAAGGTAAGCTTATCTATTCGCATTTACATAATCCAATCTCTATGCGACATAGAATTAATAGCAATGATTGTTTGTACCTACTTTTATACTTTGATTAATCAACCAATAAATAATAACTTTTTAAGTCACCTGAATTGCGTACGATTTCTCCTTCAGGCGCGTATAATACCCGCGGTCGACTTTTGCTCCTCGCTCGTCTCCCGCGCATGTCTTCCGCAACCATCGGCGCAGCCGCCACGTTACCTCTTGATCGAGATCTACAACTCACAAATATTTGTATAAAACGATGACGACGACATGCACAGATTGTACAGTGAACAACTAAACGTTTGATTAGTACCAATATTTACTATTGTTTAAGTTTTTCTTACATTAGTTTTTTCATTTAAAATTGTTTAAGATTTTCATTCGTTTTTCATTCATTGAAGTCATTGGTTTGGAGTTTAATTCATACATACGTAATCATCATCATACTTATTCTACTTAAAAACTGACAATACAATATTTTGTATTCGGTTTAGTATTCAACTTGACAATTTGGTTAGATTGTGGTAAACGTGGACTCAATAACTTAAAATAATAATAAGTGTTACCTTCTAATGGGTGACTCTATGGGTAACGGGGCGCTGATACCAGGACTCAAGGCGGGAGCCACAATCAAAGAGCCCAAATAAAACGTCTCCACATCTGCGAACTCGTTCCGAAGCTGAGAAAAACTCCGCACCTACAATTGGGAACACTTTCAATTTCAAAATACCTTATATAAATAACTATGTAAGTATAATAAAAAACCTAATCGTTTGGTAAACGTCATGGACTACCTATATTACATCTTTAAACCAAATTCTTAATTTTTAATTGGCTAATATCAAACATTATCTAAATTAAAAGCAACTGGTTTTACCTCTTGCCCAGTGCTTGTGTACATCCTCTTAGCTCCGCTCATCTTCAGCACTTGGCCTAAATCTTCCAAAACTTCTTCAAAAGGTTGTGTAGTGCGTAAATTCAATAAAACACGACACTGTAAACAAACAACATCATATTAAACTCTCGTATCATGTCTTTTCATTGCTTGCTGACTAGTCAAATTCAATACTTTTTTCGAACTGTCAAAAACGACAGTTTTCTATGAATTTTTTACGAGATTGTGTATTGGGTCGTCACGTTTTTTTAGCGTCAATTGGCATACTTATTTCTTAAAAGTTTGCTGGAAAAATACTAAAATTAATGGTCATAAAATCATAAATTTTTTTTATATTACAATGTACTAGCTTTAACCCGCGGCTTCGCTCGCGTCACAAGCGGATAAAATATAATAGAATAGAATAGTAGCCTATGTGACATATACCAATACACACAGCGCCATCTATACCAATACTTTTGTTTTCCCTCGGGAATATCACATTTTTTCGGGATAAAAACTACCCTATTATTTAATCCGGACTTCTAGCTTTACGTCTGCAAAAATTCAAAGCAATCGGTTTAGTAGTTGCGGCGTGAAAGCGGAACAAACAAACAAACAAACTCGCTTTCCGATTTATAATATTAGTAAGGATTGAACAGTCAATATGCCCAACTTTTGGCTTACCTCAGCTCAATTCTAGGCAAAGTTACGATGAATATTAATGTTCATAAAAGACCAGCATAAAGCCTAAAGATATTTCAGGGATATTTCTGAAATGCCCTTTACAAACTTGGCAGTACCCAATACTTAGTGAATCACCGTAATATGTAGTTTTCAGTAATACGTGTATAGCCACTTATGATCGGTTGGCCTCGAATAAATTTCGCAAAGCCTTCTTCAGCGATCACTGTTTACTACTCAAGGCCTTCACTGAAAGCGTATTATTATTGAATACAAAACATAGCCCTGAATTCACTATTATCTGCATATTGCACATCAGTATACTCCTATACTTTAAAGCTCTTCCAAAAGATTTTAGACTTTATTACAAAACTAGCTACTTCCACGCGGTTTCATACGCTCCGCTCAGCTTCTATTAGTCATAGCGTGATGTTTTAGCCTATAGCCATCATCAATAAATGCGCTATCCAACACAAAAAGAATTATTCAAATCAGACTTGTAGTTACGGAGATTAGCGCGTTCAAACTAACAAACAAATAAACAAACAAACAAACTCTTCCGCTTTATAATATATAATAGTATAATTATAATATATATAATTTATATAGTAAGTATAAGAGTATAAGATATAAGATAAGATATAAGAGTATAAGAAGTATAAGATAAGATGGTATAATTGAAAATCTATACGATAGGTCAACCTGAGTCTTTCCCTTACAATACATTACTCCTACAAATCAAAGGTACCTAAGTACATAATATAAACTGTAGGCAAGAATAAATAAATACAGGTTTAACATTACTACGTTCCGCTTAGCAACGTAATAGGGCGAATGTTTTACTTTTGATTTGAATAAAATTTACATACATAGAAAATTATTATAATTTTTGTTTAAGTACTTAATGACCAGTTCTCAGAAATAATGTAAGTAAGTACGAGTCCGACTTAGGTATATTTTAATTTTCAAGTAGGTTCCAGTATTAAATTAAGTAAAAACGCGGGTTACTCACGTGAATATACTGAGAACAGCTCTACTAGTTTCGAACCACAGAGGGGTTCTTCCTCATGAACAGCGTGCGCGGTCGCGGTTTCGAGGTTCGAGTATTCTAAATCTTATTTTTTAAAACTATAAACACTGGTGTTCATGGAAAGTCCTTGTCTTGTCCAGGTTCTACAATAATAGTGTTTTTATTTTTTTGTCCCTTAGTTTTATGGACTGCCCACTTACCTGTATCGAATGGTCCATATTATTGATGATCCTGATTACGCGGCCACTGGCTGGCTTGCCGCCGCCTGGAGGAGGAGCGTCGGACTCCGCGACCGACTGCTTGCGAGTACCAGCTCGTGACCAGGCACTGGTACCCGTCGTGGTACCACCGTACCACATGCCGTTCTTTTTGCCGTAGCTCGCCGCCTGTTAAAAACCATCATTGTTAAGGATAAATTAAAACATTGTGTTTATAGACTTCATCGTGTTTTTAGAAACTCTAGCGTTTTAATAGTTATTTAAGTTCCATACAATAGGAGGCGAATGCTAATATTAAGAAATATTAAAATTCAATAATTAATGTTTTGCCCGATTCAGTCAAACTAAATATCAATTGATATCAATTTCATTCATTCATTGTAGTTACAGTTTATGGACAGATAGTAGGTAAAGTTCAATTAATGTCAATTAAAAAGAATACTTCAAAATAATTCAAATTGAAGACATTACCCAGTGCAGAACACTTTGAAGAGTTCAAAGTCTATGGATGTGCTATAATGCGCAGCTAGATAGATAGATTAATTAGTTATAGCTATACTTACTTATGGCTGTTAGCAGGCCCCAGATTTATCAGAAGAGCGCAGTAAGAAGGAAGAATGTTACATAGCCTGTGCCTAAATGACAAGTGCAACTTTTATGAAGAAGTAAGATTGCGTATAATCTGTGGCTCCTAGAAGAGCTCCAGTGCATTCTTATGGCTTGCCTACAACCTAATGAGTTCACATGCTGCAGATTTATTAATTACCTTATTCATTTGTTTCTTTTCACTCGGTACCGTCGCGACGGCAAGGTAAGAATTTTTCTGTTATAACAAAGAAGTTTTTTGAGATAAAAGTCAGGAAAAGTTTTGTCTTATTCAACCTAAGAATTCAACCTACGTCATCGTACTATAATTAGTTATCGTACTTAAATGAATGGCTAATTATGAACTATTAAGTTTACCGTCCAGCGTGCCTGGCATACCACTTACGTACTGAATACCGTAAAAATAATAAAATAAAACAATTTAGGTCAATGGGGTCCGTGTTTCTTTCAATCGAACGAAAAGCTTCGACATTCCTCCGAATTTAGGCTTCAAGTACTTATAATAGGTTCTTAGTGACGTCATTAGAAGTATGTATTTTCAGCTATTTCGGTATATAAGCGGCCCGACCTAAAACTATGAAGCTTCGTGCCCCTGACACGATTTCATTGTTTGATGAATGTGCAAACTGACCGACGAATTTTCACTGACATGCAAACGAAAAGAACTGCAATACGAATGATTTTAGACGATTATCTTAATTTGTATCTTTCTATGTAGATCGTGGGTTTAGTGAATTTCAGTTAGCCCTAACGTGCGGTATATTTGATTAGTTCCAATTGTGTAATCGAAAAAATATTCTGGCACTGAGAACTTGATAAATTGTATTATTTAGAATCAGGTAATAAGACAATGAAAAGTGTTCGCGACAACATTTCCATGTTTTCTAAAAAAATAAAATCGTTAATTTGATGTGTAATGTTTTGTGATCTCATCTCAATCCCATAGAAGAGTGTCAAAAGACTACCGTTTGGATCGTGTGTATCGGTCAGATATTTTCTGCTTAACTCGTCGAGTATCGTCTATGTAGGCACAATTATAGAACAATAGGTTGCGGTCACCGGTGACCGCTTGGTGTTTGACAGTTTAAGGGCCGTTTTAACTTTTAACCTTTCTGTTTATATTTTAACTATGGAATATTATACACGTTTTTCCATAAAAAAAATATTTATTTACTTTTGTTAATTAAGGTAACAACGACTTAATCCGACATAGTAATGGTATTGTATCGTAAATAAGATCAAGTATTATAATAAATTCTTGTGTAATGTACTAGGGTATGAACCAACCTCTTTTTTAACAACACAGAATTATACGTAAAAAGATACGAATACGTGCCGCAAAATATATTTTAGAACTTAATGCTTACGATTTCGCATAACTCGTCGAAAAAAGGCGAAATATTACATACCGAACCGAACGTGTATTAAAATAAAAACAGCAGAATTATTTGACACCGTCCGATAAAAGGTATTGCAAAGTTAATTTATTCCTACGTTAACATTTTAACGTTTTTTTAATGGCCGATGTGTGGGGAATGTTACAAGTAAAGTGGATTTATTCAGAATTTTATGGTTCTTTGGTAAATACCCTCGCTTCCGTTCTGTGGTTGACCGTTGCTTTTTACCTCCCCGCGAATACAACTTTAACCTAGTTTTGTGTATGTTACTGTTCATTGGTCAATCGTTTGCTGTCTCTAGTTTTTGGTGATATACGCCTATCGTGAAATTGATTAATTGTTCATTGAATACAATAAGGTTAATATTTTATATATAAAATCATAATGCACAATAAATGAATGGCTATTACCAACAAGGCAACGATACAGACGAAACAGGATAGTAGAGAACAAATAAATATTTAGGTATTGACATAATTTCAAGGTTTCTTTATTGTACCGTCTAGGTAGAATATTTTTTGCGCTTAAAATAATGAAATAATCATTAAATAAAATATTAAAAGTAGGTAAGTGAGTGCTCACCATGATAGATACTCTCAAATCTTCGTCGCTCTTCCCGCAATACCGAATCCTAAGTCGCGGTATTTTGTCGAGCAAATCAACCGCGTCACCGTCGTAGACAGCCACCGACGGCGTCCAACCGACCACTGACCGTGTAAACAAAAACCCTGCTTCATCCAAATTATTCCAAAGTCCTTGGCCAGTGGTACTGACCGTCTTCCAAGGACACCCTTATCGCAAGTCTGTGCGTGCAATTAGAATAACGTACAAAGGTACCAACGAATTGACCTCCACCCCCTCGCGAAAGTACTGCATTCACGCGAATCTTGGGGTAATAAGTGATAGTTCGGGGGTCTAGTTTGGGTGGTCTGTACACACGTATCGTCCACCACGTGTGGGGAGCACGCTTCGTCGAGGTCACGTCTCAAATTGCTGCATAACTAGTCGACTGCGGCGTTTGAAATTAATATGTCTGAAAATGTTAGTCATTTTGTCGTTTACGTGTAAAATTGTATTTCGTGTCCATAAGGAAGTTGAATTTGAAGGGCTTTGCGAACGTTTAATATAGGTACCTAGTATAAGTAGATACTTATGTGAATATTTTCAAATGAATGAAAATATTGAAGGCGTTACTGCTTAACCGCTTTTCGGTATAAGATTTACAAGTCTAAAAATTATGTCTCAAAGCATCGAAATAATTTAGATGTCAATTCAAAAGACCAAGGTTTCAAGACCATGTCAATTTAAAGGTCTCAAAAGAACCTTGGTCCAGCATTCTCACAAACGTTACCACCGCTTTTACCCTGAGCCTAATAACTAGCATTAGCAATAACAAACACTAGGAATGATTTAAATACTACGCATTCATTAAGCCATTGTGACATAACCTTAGTTTTGACGTGCTGGTTTCGGCAAGCGTGCCCGGATCACGCAATTCATTTGAATACTCAAGGAAAACACTGGATTATGTAATTGATAAGAGGCTATTAGCTGTTCCGTTTCCTCGTAAATTGACTTTTTTAATCCTTACAAAAAATGTGTTAATGCTTTACTTTTTAATGAGTTTTGGCAATGAAAACATTTTAACGCAAAGTATCACCAACTGATGCATAGACTAGAAATGTGCAAATGCTATTGACGACCTAATAACGTGCAAGTACGTACTGCAAGAAACACTCAAAATGATATCTTTATAGATTGACACAAAGTACTACCAGAACCATAATCCTTATTTTAATTGTGAAGAGCTTTAAGTTTCTGGACTGAACTACACTACTTACTTTTCGCAGCTGCAACTCTCTCAGCAGCTTTCGATCGAGCAGATAATTTCTACATTCTATTACATGCCGAAAAGTAGATAGTAAACAAAAGAACTCACAAATGGCTCAGTGGAGTTCACTGGCAGCGAAACGACGACGAAAGGCGAATCTTCTTCGCTGTCCAGCATCGAGCTGTCAGCAGCTGACAGCCACCGGTACCTGCTTGGTCGCCACACTTTCGTAGCTTGTGATAACCCACAGCACAACTCAAAGCTCGCTCACTCTCATTAAAACCTTATATACCGTGACGTAACAATCACCTAAGTATTTTTTACGATCTAACTGCCCTAATAAAACATTTCATGAGTTCATTCATATGGATAGACGAATGTGTGATTGTAAATGTCACCTGCGTTCAACACCTCGAGTCAAGTTCAAGTACCTACTGGTGGACGCGTGTCCTCGTGTCACCTCGCAGTTTAACTTTGCATACAGTGATAGCCGTAACGTATAGTGGGTGACGTCTGTCCGGTCGCTACGGTCATACATTTGCATATACTTACATTAAAGATACGCGATTTGCACGTCTCTAGTTATTCACTGTAAATGCTTTTTGATAATCTTTCTATTATGTTACGTATGTTAGAAAAAATGCAACGTGTTTCAACTATGTCTTATGTTGTTGACGGATGTCGCAGATACTCCAGAGGTTTAACATACAAATTGACTGAAATAATATTTACTTAAAGTAAAAAAATACAGGATACCTATACTGTCACCTAGTTTTCAAATAATAAAATGACACTTACACTGTTCACAGCACGTTTAAAAAATTAAATTTAAATTAAAATTAACACTTAGCGGGCGACTTTTCTATAGCTCTTCGAATGCAAATGCGCGACCTATAAAATATTGTGGTCACGTGGCAAGAAAATACGCTTTTTTTATAATTTCGCTATGGTGTTCACGTCGTTCCCGCTCTGTCAACAGAGATCGAATCTCAAACACGCGAACAACACTATGCGCTTTATATGACCATAAAGTAAAAAGTCTTGCGATTATGTTGGCGTGATCTCCATACTTAATAACCTACAGCTAGTAGCATTATTTTATTTATTTTCTGATTATATATAAGTTTATTGTGCGGTGTAAACCTTTATGAGTAAATGTAGTTGTTTTTGTAGTAAAACTGTGTAGCTATAAAGTTTGTTATTGTGTACGTTTATGTCATAATACGTTTCATTTTCTGACATAACTTTATGTTCAAATTTAGAATGTTAATCTTGATTAGCCAATATTAATTGGGAATATTACAACTTTTAATATTGACACGAATGAAAGGAATGTTTGATATCAATGAAGAAATCTGGTTAGAATTTTCATTAGGTATACACGAAATCGGTATGTAGGTATTACATGTGTAGCTAAGATATTAATTAATCAAAACAGACAATGTTGATGAACAGTGTAGTTATTTTGATTAGATAAATGAACCTCGTAACAATTATCATTTGTAGTCGTAGTTATAGCTGCATCACAATAACTAACTTCATTTTCATACCTAAGTATTCGTTAATTTCAGATTCACCCAACAGATAGAACTAGGTCATAAATGATCGATTTCACTTCGATAAATTTGAAAACATGAAATGTTTTGTTAAGGCCACGTCACTTTGGATGCACCACAATTTTATTAGATAGTAATCGAGCTTTTGATGTCAAGTCCAAGTATTCCAGGACACAGATGCACTTATTGGGAAGGCACGTCTTGATTCGCAGCCACCATATATGGTACTAGGCCCACTCGCAACAGCTGACTAATTTGTAGCACCAACAAAACAAAAGCCCATCGCAACAGCGAAACGGTTTACAACACGCGAAGGACACGCGAGATGATACCCTATACCGACGTAATAGAGCTGTATATTACAACGAATGCTGGAGGTACGGTTACGACGGTTGGATGAAGCAGACTATTCGAAATTTTATTTGTCGGTGGA